ACCATGCATCCTGGTAGTAATAAAATGTTCCAAGATCTGAAGAAGACATATTGGTGGCCCACAATGAAGCGGGAAATTTCTGAATTTACAACACGATGTCTGACATGTCAACAAGTCAAGGCTGAACACCAAGTGCCTAGTGGGTTGTTACATCCACCTACTATCCCTGAATGGAAGTGGGAACGAATTACGATGGACTTTGTGATCGGACTTCCATTATCAGCTAAGAAAAATGACGCTGTCTGGGTAATTGTTGATCGATTAACCAAGTCATCTCATTTTATCCCAATTCGACGTGATATGTCTTTGAAGAAATTGGCAAAATTGTACATCCGTGAGATCGTAAGACTACATGGTATACCTTTTTCAATCATTTCTGATCGTGACCCGCGATTCACGTCACAATTCTGGAAGAGTTTACAGAAAACCATAGGTACTAAACTTAACTTTAGTACGGCATTTCATCCTCAAACTGACGGACAATCTGAAAGAGCAATTCAAATTCTGGAAGATATGATGAGGGCATGTGTAATAGATTTTGGAAGCAACTAGGAACAATACTTACCACTAATGGAATTTGCTTATAACAATAGTTATCAAGCGAGTATCCAAATGGCCCCGTACAAAGCCTTGTATGGGAGACGTTATAGAACCCCGGTATGCTGGACAGAATTAAGTGAGCAAAAGCTTGAAGGACCTGATCTCGTCCGCGAAACTGAAGAAAAGGTTCATTTAATTAGAAAACGACTGCAAGTAGCTTCTGATCGACAAAAATCTTATGCCGATTTAAAACGCCGGGAGATCGAATACAATGTTGATGACAAGGTGTTTCTGCAAGTCTCACCGTGGAAGAAAGTGTTACGGTTCGGCAGGAAGGGAAAACTAAGTCCAAGATATATTGGACCCTATCGAATCACTGAACGTGTGGGTCCAGTAGCCTATCGGTTAGAACTTCCACCAAACCTTAACAAGATCCATGACGTATTCCATGTATCGATGTTGAAAAGATATCGTTCCGATCCATCGCATATCTTGACCGAGGGAATCGTAACTCTTGATGAACAATTAACTTATGAGGAGGAACCTGTACAAATTCTGGCACGAGAGGTCAAACAATTGAGAAACAAATCCGTACCTCTAGTCAAAGTACTATGGAGGAATCACTCGACTGAAGAGGCAACATGGGAAACCGAAGAATCAATGAGGATGCAATATCCAAACCTCTTCAATCAATGACTCAGGTAATTTCGAGGACGAAATTAATTTAAGGGGAAGAGAAATGTAACGCCCCAAAAATAGGC